TGGAGGTTTAAGTTGTACATTAGGTAAAACTTCCTAACTGTCAGGGTGGTTAAGCACTGGAATAAATTGCCTGTGGCAGTTGTGGAATCTCCATTATTGGAGATTTTTAAGAGCAGGTTAGACAAACACCAGTCAGGGATGGTCTAGATAATACTTAGTCCTGCCATGAGTGCACAGGACTGGACTAGATGACGTCCTGAGGTCCCTTCCAGTCCTGTGATTCTATGAATTCCTTGGAAACTTAAAATTGCTATCTCCTCTCACTAAAATGATACATTTTTGTCCATTACGCATAGTACTTTGTTTTTAAAATTAAGAAAGAGTGTGTTTTGAAAAACTTCCTCTCCTGTAAAGTTAGAGATGATGCAACAGAGATGTACAGGTCACAGCTGGCAGAGAACAAAGAGACATGGGCCATGGATGCCCTAAGGGCACTTACAATCTAGGACCCCAGTTCTTCCACCTATGCTCACATTGAGTAGCACCATACTCCATGAATCAGATCTGTACAGGTGGACCCGTGTGCTGGCACCGGGGCTCAGTATGGGTGCAGGGATCCACTCATGAAAATCTTGATTGCCGGATTTGAACCTAAAGTCCTTCTCGGTGTAAATATGGGTGGCAAAACAGAGCCCTAAGCAGACAAACAAAACAATGCAGTGCCCTGGGCTGAGACAAAGCATCAGAGGCTGGTGCAGAGTTGTTTGTTTTAATAAGAACAATCCTTCTTTGTTGTGAGGACTAGGGTTGATAAATACACAAAACAATACAAATCAAACACCCAGGAGACTATAACATGGATTTGTTACAGAGCAAGGCAGTTTTTTTTTAAATAAATGTAACACCACTTCTTTATTCAGCAGATTATTTAACCTATCAACCACAAAGAATAAACTGGAGGATACTGTACTTGGAAACCCATGAATAGGAGTTACCAATTGCATTGTTTTGAACATGCATATCTAACTTATTTTTAATAGTCTGTTTTTGATGTGCTAATCTGCTGTTCACTGACATTTGCCTGGACAGCTGTATAATCTTTGGCATCATTCTTCAAATGAATGTTCCACAAAGACATACAAAACATTGTTTCAAATGTAGAAATAGGTAAAACATATTGACAAATATCTGGCACTTTAAACAGAGCAAACAGTGACAAACTCAAACATGCAAACAAATCTCACATTGAACATGTCCATATCATTAGAATGCACCTGCTACCATAACTAAATAGTACAGCCTATTTACATTAACATTAGCTTAACAACTAGAAACTCTAATATTGATGCTGCTGTATTACTTCATCTCCAGCTGCTGTATTAATACCAACATATTTTCAAATAACTTGCTTTTACGTTCTAAAGGGCCAAAATTCAGCCTGGTTGTAACTTCAATAAGATTGTTAATTTGGCGCTTTAATAGAAAAACTCTTGACATAAAGCCAGGTTCCCAAACCTTGTTATAGCATTCCTTCTCTAAATACAGGAAAAATATTGCAGTCTTCCATGTATAAATTGAATTGGATGAAGGACCATGAAGGAAGGAAAATAAATGTGCATTTTAGAGTATATTTTAAACCAATGGATATACCTACCCTACTAGTTTCCCTATTTCAGGATTAAATTCACCCTTATGCAGAAAGCCAGCCTCAAGTGAGGTGTAAGTGGTTCACAGACCCTATGCTGGTCCTCTGCACAGGGAGCCTTTATGGGGTTAATTTTTGCTTTGGTGTGTTTATGTAGAATTCAGCCTATTGAATATTTGCTATCTGTGTTAAATATCCGATTCCGGGCTGCAGCTAAAATGAATAAGTATTTATACTGCCCACCACCACATGGATTTTGTCTGGACTCTCCCTTGGCAGAGAAGAGAAAAAATATTTATACCGAGCTCTTATATAGCACTCATCAGCAGATCTCAATGTGCCTTCCAAAAGGACAAGCAGACGTTCTCAGGGGGGAGGAAACTTCTCGTGACCTAACCTTATTTCTCCCCAAGAATAGTGAGGCGCTTCAAGGGGAGCCCATTGTTGCATGAAGCCCAGTGGGTCTGGAAGGTGGAGAAAAGGAAAGGCAGCTTATATAATTTTAGCATGTATTATTTTATTTATGGTAGTACGTGGACGCGTAAACCAAGAGCAGTGCCCTTTGGGTTAGGTAATGTACACATGGACAGAGAGACAGTCCCTGCCTTTAAGAGTTTAAAGTCAAAATAGACAAGACAAACGATAGGTGGGGAGACAGAAGCATAGAGAGGAGCAGTGACTTGCCCAACGGCCTGCAGCAGGTTGGTGGCAGAGCTGGGAATAGAACCCAGGAGTATTAATTAATTAATAGAACTTCTGGAGTTTGTTAGTTACTTTTGGCTACTACAAAAATAGGGCTGGATCCTGCTCCCATTGAAGTCAATGGGAGTTTTGCCATTGACTTCAGTGGGAGTAGATTCCAGTCTACAGAGATTTGTGGGGTTTTAGTCCTGCAAGTAAATAAAGCCACCATCATGTTTAGAATGCGCACAACATATTCTCTCTTTTCTGTTCTAAAATGTTATTCTCTATGGAGAAAACCTTCAGTCCTGTTTCTTGCCAGAATAGCCAGGTTGGGCACTGAGGAGAAAATGAAGAGTGATTCCTTTCCATAGATTGTGAATCCTCTCCATAGAGCCACTCTTCAACCAGTGTTACAGCCTTGAGGATTTAATAGGACAGGTCACAGAACCCAGATGTGCCCTCTCTGCAGGTATGGGAGAATCTACATAGGAGCGAATCTTTCAGTCCACCGTGCCCTTCCTATCCTTATTGCCTTGGTATGCAGGAAACTACCCTAGAATTCATCTGCACACAGTGCAGGGGGATCACCCCCCAACCAATCCTCTTCACTCCTTCATACCAGTTCCACCACCAGAACCCTTGATGGCCACAGAAACAAGCATAGGATTGACCCCCTACGTATTCTTTAAATAAGTGCAATTACTGTAGTTTATTTTCTGTTTTAAAAAGCTGAAACCACTCAAAAGTAACCCCAAAACAAACCCGTGTTTGTGGGCACACAGAAACATGCAATAAGTGAACACATTTTGGTAAGGATTTGTTATTGCATATAGGCCTTATACTACAAACACTTAAGCATGTGCATAACTCAGTACTTGAATAGTCTTGTTGAACTCAAATTGACATATCATGAAACATGTGCATAAGTGATTCCAGGATCAGGACCTATATTTTAAATATATGGCCAAGTGACAACTACTTACAGGTAGGTGTTCTTTTAGTAAACTGAAAAAATTAAAAAAAAAACATGGTAGAGAAAAATCCTCTGGATTTTAAAAACAGTATAATGGTATCTTTCATAATTTAAGTTTCTTTTAAAAATACACTATGTAATTATACCTTAGAAACCTAAATAAAATTAGTTTCCTAACTAATGTTATGAATAGGCTAGTTTTTAGTTTTAGTTATGTATTTTTATGGAGTGCGCTTGGGGGAAATATTCACTTAAAGGATATGAAAGATAATGTGGAGTTATTCCTTTTCAAATCCAGAGGATTTTCTCTACAACATACTGTAACCACAGCTTTAAATTAGACCAATTTTAAGCTCAAAACTTTAGATCCTGATTCTATGAAGGCTTAGGCACATGCTTAACTTTACATACTGTGTGAGTCATCCCACTGAAAACACTAAGAGCTTGTCTACAGACACAAATACTCAGGAAAGTTAAGGCAAATCAATTAAAGGTGGGAAGTCAAGGAACATATATTAAAGCTCATTTAACCCCAAACCTCTCCTTCCCCACTGACTACATATGTGGATGCTCTCATTCAGGAGTAAAGTGACCTTAATTTGCTGTAACTTAATACTCATACTTTAACCTGTTTAGTCTATTTATAAAAACAGAATAGTCAGGAAACAAGTTTTAGTTTTAATTTTCTAAGGTATAATTTCAGAGAGTATTTAAAAAAAAACTATGACCAAGGGGGATTAAGACCACTCTACTCCTAAGTGAGAGCATCCACATGGGAGATTAACATTCTTTAATTTATGCACATTGATTTCACATGTTTAGTTGATCCACCTTAACTTTCCTGAATGTTCCAGTATAGACATGCCCTAGTATGCACCGTTGCAAACACCCTATGTAGTGTTCAAGCTGGCTAACTCTAGATAGTATCTGGTCTAATGGGGTGCAAGATCACTATTGTAGATTTCATTAGTGACGATTGTAGTTGTGGTGATTTAACTTCCAGTAAATTGAACATTTATATTGTTCTAGGTAGATGGGCTGGGAGGGAGTAAGAGAGGTCAATATAGAAGCTTTGCCTAGCCTTGGATGTAGGCAAATAGCCACATGAAAAAGAAAAGTTCCAGTCTTCTCAATCAGTTGAACTGCACATTCCACTTTATACAGGTGTCAGAAAGGCAACAGATAGATGTTTGCTTTTTATTTATTTTTAACTAACTGTGGAGCACTGGTGAAGAACATCACATTTGATCTATTCTCAATCTTTGCCCTTCACAATTAGGCCAAATTTGGTGATTATTAAGCAAAAATTCCCTTGGCCTGAAATGGTCATTCAAGTAAGGATCATAGAATTTGACACAGAATAGCTTTTCTTTGTCTAATGCATTTCATTATCCATAACTATTCTTTTGTCATTTGCAATTGTGTCAATCATTGCAATCCCTGAACAATTTAAATGTAAAGGTACTATTGTGGTCGGAGGAACAGATTTTAGACTGGATATTGATTGGTTTAAATAGATTGCCAATGATTTATTTTTAAATGAAGTAACTTGTGTCTCAGATCAGCTGCAATTATCAGATTGATCTGTTCAGATATAACATGCAACTTTGAAGGAAACTAGAAAGCTGCCTTTCCCTTCTTATTGATTATCTTCACTTTTCACATGGGATGGATGTGACTCGTATTACAGTTGAAAGCACATTTTTAAGCATCCACAGTACTTGATATCTTAGGGCCTCTGCATTTTTCATTCTCCAGAGACCATGAAGAAGATATTTCAAGAAAAGGGCATCTTGGCAGGAGAAAACAGAGCTTTTAAACCTCACTTGACCTTCATGAAGCTGTCAAAATCACCAGAGCTACGTAAGCAGGTAAGCTCAAATTTGATGCAGCATGACAGCAGCCATCCAAAAAGTTTATTTTAGAGAGTAAATGGTAAGCACACCAGTTTTACTTTAGCCATATTCTAGAGCAGTCAAGGTTCGACTTCTTTGTAACCAGGTGGACTGGTAAGACTTTAAAATATTAGTCTTTTATGAAAAAAGTTAATATGTAAAATGTTTTGTCCAAAGTTGTACTACAAAATACTTCTCTTGATAGTCTCGATATGTTAACAATTATGGTCTATTTTCTCTTGCAAAAGAATCTAAATATTACAATTATGTCTAAAGTATTGTTCCAGTGTACCTTAAATAAAGATTTTTGAATTATACGGAAATTAACTGTCCAGCATGTCGGACTACTGACTCTGGAATGAAGAGCATTTATAATAATATGAGTTGATAGATCATATCTTTCAGGCTGCCTTTTTGGGGGGACTGGGGGAGGTCCTCCTGTTTTTCTTGCAACTGCATTATCCTCTCCGAGTGGCATTCCACTTTCCATTCTAATGGGAAAACAGAAAAGGCAAGCAACTTTCTGCGTGAACCAAAGGACAGTAATTGAGGATCAGCCATAAGGGCAAGATATTTTAACTCCATATTCTTTGCTAAAAATGTTTAATTATGTATGCTGATGTGAACAGATACAGAGGAGAGCTCTCCAAAATATTTGCTCTTTATCTCAGCTTTTGGTAGTGTAAATGAGGTATTCATTTGTTCATTGCAAGTTATTTATTAATCTATATAGTGTTATCCAATACTCTGAAATCGAGCTAGTTCAACAGATCAAAACCATATCTGACTTTCATTCTTTTTGTACTTTTGAACTAACTTCCTCTCCTCCCCCTTATAAACTTCATTGTCTCTGAAGCGTACAAAAAAAAGGGGGGGGGAAGGGTGCTGTTTCAATAAACGTGGGATGAAATCCTGATCTCACTGAAGTCAATGACAAAACTCCTATTGACTTCAACTGAGCCAGGATTTCCTCTAGGATATTTTAAAAGTGCTAAGTAATAGATATTTGTTTTATTTGAGCTTAACTCAGTTTTTAGAACTCATTCAGTTATACTGAACCAAGTGTTACATTTTTTTTTCCCTTTGGTGAGCTGGGGAAACAATTGCTTCACTGCAGAAACAATATGAACTGTTTAGGTCAGTTGATTTTATAAAAAATACTTTGTAGTAAATGTGCTTAGAATACAAATTTTAGCAATGTTTGTCCCATCTTTTGAGGTGGTCTTTGATAAGAAAAGTCAGGAGTTTTCATTATAGTTGCGATTGTCTTCTAAACCTGGTAAAATAATTACTGTCTGTCTGAAGTTTAGCTTATAATAGATGGACTTGTCTGAGGAGACATCTGGAAAGTCAGTTACATTTTATGGGGGACTGGAGGTGTGTAAGCATTGCAACATCAGGGTGCCAACTTCAGCAACAGATGCTCTGTCTAGCATAAATAAAGAAGATTCCAAGCAATCCAATTATAGCAATACGTATGTGAAACAATATAAAGGTGTGGAATTCTTGAGGTACAACTTTCCCCATTAGACCATAGTTTGTTTGTATGGTCCTCCTATTGAGGTCCTGATTAATCAAAACACTTAAAGGACATGCTTAAATTCTTTGTTATATCATGGGGCAAGCCCCCAGTTGTATCTAAGATAAAAAGGTTGTTTTTCTTTCTTTTCCCCATCTCCAGTTTATCATATGAAAAAAGTTGAAGCTTTAACCTAACTTTGTTTTTAATAGTAGATTGTGGCAGAATGGCTTTGTTTCACTTGGTCGTTGAACCATACTACTTTATTTAAGCTTTTAAAAACTTTTATGTAGTATCAGGACACACATTGTGTGCGCTGGGTGTTATAGAAGCAAAAATGTTACCATGTTTGTCTTCCATTTTTTGGAAAATAGAGTAAAGGGATAAAATTAATTAAATTTACAAGGTTATTATTTATCATGGGGTACAGGTAATGTACTGAGAAAGACTTATGCTTCTTGTGTGCAGTTGAAACATTGATTTGTTTGGATTGTTTTCTGTTGACACTGTGTGGCAGAAAAGACCAGTTTCTAAACAAATAAAGATCATAATCCATATCTGGATTATGCACAATATGTAAATTGTGACCTCTCTCTTTTTACTGAATATGCTGTGCTGAATTCCAGGACAAGCAAGAAAAGAGATACAACACATCCTTTTAACTACACTCTTATAGTTAACTATTACTTGCCTTACTCACACAAAACTCCACACTAGATTCTTTGATTACATAAGCGCTAGGAATCTTTATTATAAATAGTACATTAATAAAGGTAAAGCATAACAATGGTAAGAAAGAGAACAAACATAAAAGCAATCATGCACACAAAAGTGTGACCCACAATAACTATTTAATCCAAGTTTTTATTCCACTCCTGTTCCCATTATTATGTTACATCATTTTAAACAGCTATATTTCCATGCAACTACTTTTTTCTGCCCCCGTATAGCATTTTATGTGAATTTCTTATCAATCTTTTCTTTGACATGCATAAGTAAAGTTATTCCTGGGACTAGCCTATTTGTCAAAATATTGCATGAAAAGAAAAGGCGCTGTTGACATTAGCTTGTTATGTATACATTTTAAACAACATTACAGGGAAAATGTTTACAAACAACATTGGGAGTACCACTAACAGGTATCAAAAATGTTTAAGTAGAAAATTATATAGTTGGATTGAGTAAAATCTTGGATTGTAAAACAGACTTTCTTGAATACAACTTTAAAGATACACCACAGTAGTTTAAGGGCATAACAAACATAAAAGGTAGGAAATCAAGGAAGGAACTAAAGATTTCAGGACACAAGTTCTGGCTGACATGGCATAGCACTTAATATTGTAAAAGTCACACCACTGTGTAGAGATCTTCATTAACCATACACAGTTATTTCTAATGTTGTTATTTATTTTAATGTCAGAGGCCATTAGGGTGTATGAGATATTTACTATTTTCCCAATGTGCATTATTTTACATTTATCTACATTATGCTCCCCTGTACGCTAATGTGTTGGTCTCCACAGTTGTTAATAACAGAATCAAATTACTGTCATCCTAATTCATATTACTTCTCCAGAACACTGAATAATAAATATACTAGTGGCTTAGCTATTAAGTGATATGCCATAGAAAAATATCATGGGAGATTGATATTAAATAACTGTAAACACTATTAAATGGGATATTTCTTTGTCAAAGCTCTCTCCATCTTAAGAAGCAGCATTTACTATCATTCTTTGTTTCCTATTGTTTAATCAGTTCTTTGTGCACATTTCCTCTTAGTATAGTAAATAAACAAAGCATAAAAAGGTAAAGATAACACATTTTAACAACAGTTTAAATGAATTTTTAGATCATGCAACAACAGTATTACAAGTAACAGAGAAAAATTAATAAAGGTTATGGTAGGAAGAGCATATATATAACATTGTAAAGTAACAGCTGATAGATCAAAAATAATTTAAAATACAAAACCACCAGATCAATAGTTATAAACATTCAGGACAGAAGTCATTAAAATTTTGGGGGTTTCTGTCTAAAGAAGCAATCAGTTAACCCAACCCTTCAGAGGATTAATGATCTCACTAAATTTATTAACATTACATTTTGGGAAAATTGATAAAACGTTCCATTTCTCCATCTATTGCAAATATACCTAGAGCTTCAGGGGAAAAGATAGAAATTCTTGAGGAACAAAAATTCTGAAAAGTTACTTTTCCAAGGCTGTAAAATATTTAATAAAAGAAATTATTGAGTTCAAAATGAAGGTTCTGTAACTCTACAGAGGTAAGAAAAATAAGTCTCTTCAAGAGATTACCCTTAAGACATTTAAAGCTACAGAAAAGTAAAAGGTCAGACTTCTTTTATTTAATGAAATAGAAGCTAATGAAGGATAAAAACATTGCTGCTACATTTACATTGAGTTAATTGGATTAGAGAAAATCTCATCCCCCACCCCCTATTTCTCAGGTGAGAGAAAGAACATAGTTTACAACAATTGATGGAAGTGGAAGACAGTTAATCAAACTTGGCCCTTTAGGTCCAGTGGGACAATTTTGGGGACGAATGAGTTAATTGAAAAGTTCCCCCAAATGCTGATACCACGCTCTCCATTTCTACATAGGACTAGGAGCCCCTGTGGAAGGAGATAACATGAAACAATTTAGGTCCTGATCCTGGAAAGACTTGAGCAAAAGCATAACTTTATGCATGTGTGTAAGTCTTTCCAGGACTGGGACCTTCAACAATAAAATCCATGGGGCAGGTACCATATCTTCTATGCATTGTACAGTGCTGGACACACATTACCTACAGTATATAATGAAAGAAGTGAGTTCGTTTAGACAACACACTCCTATTCCCAGGTCTACCACTAACTTACTGTGTGACTTTGGTGAAATGAAGTATTGACAGGTTGTGACTGACTCAGTCTATTACTTATTTACTGTGAGGCTTCATTGATAAATGCTGTACGATGATTCGAGATCCTTCGATGCAAGGGGCTAAAGCACAAGGCCTGATTCACTGTTGCTCTGCAGCTTTCATAGTCACTGACACCATTTGCAAAGCAAATGCAGTCAGGTTGGGAGTATTTGCACTAATGCAAGTGACTGTACAGGGTTCAGTGCAGTGGTGAATTAGGCCCATAGGTAAATGAGTCTATGATTTAACAGGGGCGGCTCCAGGCACCAGTGCAGCAAGCGTGTGCCTGAGGCAGCAAGCCGCGGGAGGCGGCATTCCGGTTGCTATGAGTGCGGCAGTCAGGCGGCCTTCAGCGGCGTGCCTGCAGGAGGTCCGCCGGTCCCGCGGTTTCGGCGGCAATTCGGCAGCGGGTACGCCGAAGCTGCGGGACCGGCAGATCACCCGCAGAAATGCCGCTGAATCCGCGTGACCGCGGACCACCCGCAGGCATGCCGCCAAAGGCCGCCTGACTGCCGTGCTTGGGGCAGCAAAAAAC